AGCATCGACGGCTGTCTCGTAGCCCATTGGCTCCTCACACATGCGATCCCACGAGTCTCTTGGAGGCCATGGAGAATTTGAGATCTCGGCAGATTTGACTACCCCAGAAGGGGACGGGATGCTGGTAGTCATCTTACTTCCCTGCCCCATCATGGAGGTCGTGCAGAGAGAGTCTCAGCTTAGCAGCTAAGACACATGACACCGGTTGCATCCCACCGATCTCAAGTGCTCTTCATGTTTGGGAGGATACCGGAAGAATACGTCCCCTCTCCAGTCTTGCCGTAATCCCTGGATCGCTCTTGGATCCAAGTCGGTGCCCTTGTATCTTATGCTTTCGGGTAGACCCCCGCGAGTAGGTGATCTGCTCCAAGCTTGTTACATACTCCATCTCCCTCCCCTTGCCTTCCTCATCCTCACCGCGCTACTTGCTTCTACGTCCTCCATTCCACCTCAAGGCAGGCCTTTGTGTTATTCGCTTCTTCACATTGTATTCTTCCTATGTCTTTCCCTTCTCGGACTCTTTAATTCCTAGACACAACCTTCCGATTCTGCGGTCCGAATATGCTCTTTAGGACCACCTTATAAGCACATATTACAATTCGTCTGGGGAACAAAGCAAGGGAAGGCGCCCTCCTATTGGGTGCTTAAACCAACGACATCGTGGCGACTCTCGGAGGTGTCGACGATGCTGAGGGGAGTAGAAATGGCGCCATACATTGATGACTGGCGCGCGGAGGTACGACGATGGGCTAGCACCGATCTTATGAGGAGGGATCCTCAAGACGACACGGGGAAAGATCGAGGACGGCCGAACACTAAAAGTAATCGTGATGACACCGACGGTGGAGGTAGAGGCGGAGGAGCCGGAGGCGGAGGGGGTGCAGGAAACGGGAACGGCAATAGTCGTGTCTCAGCAGGTGGCGGGAAAGGAGGGGGCCCTGGCTTCGGTGGCGGCGGAGGAGGACAGGGTAATGGAGCCGGCGGCGCCAACGGTGGTAGTGGACGAGGTGGAGATGGCAACGGGGCAGGCGGAGGCGGAGGAGGTCGGTTCAACGGCAACAACAACAACAACAACGATAATAATAACAATAACGACAGCAGCGACAAGAATAACAGCAATAGCAACGACAACAATGGTGGTGGGGGGAGGAACAAGAACACAGACAACGATAAAGGCGGGAACAACAGGGGCACATCCTCGGTCACGACCTCAGCCCAGGGTACGACTGCCTTACCTCCACCACCACCAGAAACAACGAGCATTGATCCTCCGCCCGCTACGGATGCATCCAGTTCAGTAGAATCCCCGAGCTCAACGGACTCTCCCTCCCCAACAGACACTCCGAGTACCATACCTGACCCAAGCACTGTTGTACTTGTCTCTACCGTTACGCCGACTCCATCAGCCGCTGTAAGCAATATCCCATCCACTACTATCCTGAGGAGCATGTACTCACCGGTGAACCAGACGCCCGTATTAACAAGTTTCATTCCACTATTGACCGCGACATCTTTGCCCGATATTGATCCCTCTGCACCAAGGAAAGGTCTGGACGATCCAGCTTCGCCATCTTATCTTATAACCGGCACAGCTCTCGCGGACACCAATCCTACGTCGACCGCCCTTGCAGGCAGTGCAGGGATTGGGGATAGCAGCACAAACAACAACAATGGAGATAGGAACGGCGATAGGTTTCGTGGCAACGGCAATAACGGAAACCGGTTTAAGAATAACAGCAACAATGAGAAGGGCCTGGATCCAGTGGCTGAGCGCGTACTCATCTCAGTCGGTTCTATAGGTGAGACATGTCACTTGAACGTTCATGTGTGAAGTATGTGGCTGACAGTGACCGTAGGCGGCTTCATCTTGATGTGCTTCCTTATCTGGATTGTCTGGCGGATGGTGAAGAAGTCAAAAGCCAAAAAGAATGGCGGGATCAGCCCGCCTAGTAGCAGGCGATGGCCGAGGCTGGTGTTGCCGGACCGTGTCCTTGCCAAGGTTCCTTTCCTCAAAAGCCGGCAGCGACAATGGCAGAATCTAGATGACTCCAGCGCGACAGGTCTGTCTCCACCAAGCTACAAGTCAGGGATGGCACAAGTAGAGTCGGTAAAGGAGTTCTACGCCCAAGAGAAGACATATCAACTACCGTCTAGGAGACAGTCTATGGACCAGTCGACAAATGCGCACATATCAAACTCTCTCCTGGCACAAAATGCGCCAACCCTCGCCTTCGCCAACAACCCACTTACTCTAGATACGAACATTATACCCTATTCTCAGCAGCCGGCAGTCGCTCAGAATCCGCCAAGTTTCGCTTATACCAACAGCCCACTTACTCTGGATACAACCATCACGCAGCCGTGGTCACACCAACCACAACAATCGTTCAGCTCTACGAATGCTGCTCAGTTCGGCGGTATGCGTGCATCGACTGATGAAACCGAGACGCTTCGATCCCGCATGCCTGACGTCTTCTATAACCAGTCAGAGCTCGCACGCGGGCCTTCAGACGCATATGATCCGGCAAGGCGGCAAGTCAACCGAGTATCTCAGCTCTCATCTATATCATCAGGCTTCGGAGACGGAGACATCATCATGCCAGACAACATGATCAAGCCCCCGCAACCAGCCAGCACCAGCCTGCGGCAGTCGACCAACCTAGTGGGACGCTTCTCATGGGTATCCCAGAGCGCGCGGAGTCAAAGAGATACGGTTTACACGCAGGCGAGCGAGGACTCGCCGCCGCGGTTCCGCAATATCAGCTCGTGGGTCAACCAGCAGACAGGGCGCGTCAAGCGAGCACAGCAGAGGCTCGAGGATGGACAGGATGCTCCGCCTGTGCCTGTCCTTTCGAGCCGGCAGGTGGGCGTTCCCGGTATCCACAATCCGCCGGCTGAACAATCGTTCAACATGATGATGGGGGATGACGAGGTGCCCAGGCGAGTCCAAGACACCTTGGTACTGCCACAACGATGATTGCCTGAAGGTCACACCGGCCATGGGATGCTGGCAGGGCGCGTATACCTGGAAAGAACTGGTTCGCAACGAACCGAGTTCGAGGGAAGAAGAGACGGAGGTGATAGCACACTCTTTACTTGTGTCTCCATTCTGTACATAGCTTCATATGACTTCATAGCCGTGAGATGTCAGTCTCTGCCATCCCCTTCAAGCCTGGCGCTTGGGAGGATGAGGTTTGAGCTGAGTCCGGCGCACTTATGATCTTCACTTTTTCTTTCCCCTGACCCCTATTCGATAGGTGGTTCAAGGATCATAGCCAGGAAAGGCGGGGATACCTGAGGGATTAGGGAAAATACATGGACATATAACAGAACTCGCCCAAACCATGATGACTGAATTATGGATGAGTAGGCACACACGTTAAGCCGACTCGGGCCGCCAGATCTCGAATCTTGCCAGCTGCAAGATTCACAGGAACAAGCTTTACCCAACAAAGACTAGCGCGTTTCGCCCCGCCAAACTCTGGCTGCCCCTCCGCCGCATGTTTTTTGCTCCCCTCCTTGATTGCAACCCACTTTATTAGTACAGGCTCTCTTTTGCGGACTCGAGATTTTCTACCCAAGATCACCCTGTGCCACTACCAACCTTCAACACCACCACTCTTTTCCACAGTCAACACCTCACAACCGCCAATATGATTATCTTCAAGGTGAGTACACTACCGGGCGCCCTGGGCCCCCAGGCGCCCCCTTGTAAATCAGTAGAAACAGTGGCTGACCCCGCATTCGCAGGACGTTATCACCGACGACGAGATCCTCTCGGACTCGTACGACCTGAAGGAGGTCGATGGCATCGTCTACGAGGCCGACTGCGCCATGATCACCGAGGGCGCCGTCGAAGTCGGTTAGTTTTGCCCTACGACAAGCCAAAATCACACGATCAACGGGCTATGGAAGCTAACACAATCGGCCGTGCAGATATTGGCGCCAACGCTTCCGCCGAGGAGGCTGAGGAGGGTGTCGAGGACACTTCCATCAAGGTCAACAACATCGTCCACTCGTTCCGCTACTCGGGCACCCAGTTCGACAAGAAGTCGTATCTCACCTACCTCAAGGGTGCGTTTACGAAGCCGCCACACGATCCCCTCCTGCAGTACCAGACTAACACGTATACAACAGGCTACATGAAGGCCGTCAAGGCCGCCCTCGTGGCCGCCGGCAAGGACGAGTCAGAGGTCAAGGCCTTCGAGTCGGGCGCACAGAAGTACGTCAAGGAGAAGATCCTCGCCAACTTCAAGGACTGGGAATTCTACACCGGCGAGTCGATGAACCCCGATGGAATGTGAGTTACACGCCCAATTGACGCAGTCCGAAGGAAAAAAGCGAGTTTCACATGCTAACCTAAATATACAGGGTCATCCTCCTCAACTACCGCGAGGACGGCACCACGCCCTACGTCGTCGTCTGGAAGCACGGCCTCAAGGAGATGAAGGTTTAAAGAGCCAGTCTCCTGTTGCATGTGTTTTGGTTTTCCTTCCCGTCAAAAAAAGCGCCCATCCCGCACTCGAACCCCCGAGATGTGTGGAATCTAAGGATCTACCAGTTAGATAATTGGTGTTCATGTTTGGCGTTACCTAGCAGCGAATCCGTCAAGACTCTTCGGTCTCAGACCGCATATAGAGAATGTCTTCCTTTTGTCCTCACTACTGGCACTAGTTCCAAATCTGCAACGTGATTCTGATGTGACTAATTCGGTCAATCAAGCCCATCAAGCCCCTTTTATCCAACCCGTCAAGCACCTTGATAAAAACACTTGCCGTCTATTTCACCAAGTAGCATACAATACCCCCTCCGGCAGCTAATAAGCAAAACTGTCGCCTCACCAACTCCTCCTCCCGCCCACCATCCTTCACAATAAGCAAAAGGAACTGATTAGAGTTTAATTCGAACCCACGCCATGGTCCACAGGTCCATCTCAGTGACTTAAGGTAGAAATGATAAAAAATCCATGACCCAGGTCCTTTTTCAGGTGGACCAAAAAGTGAAGGAAGCGAGATTCGAACTCGCGCCTCTTACGAGACCACGGATTAATCTGGAGACCAGATGGGGTTTCAAGGTTTTGAAAGACCTTAACGTGGCGCCTTAGACCGCTCGGCCATCCCTCCTATGTTGTTGATGTCTGCCGCATCCACTAAGAGGGTCTAAGTCCCCTGCCTTCTCGTGCAGAAACGAGTCAGGTATGCTCCTCCTCGTCGCCGACCGGCTCAAAACTGAGGTCGTGTTGCCAGTGGCACCGGCGGAGGCGGTGCATCGCTATTTGCTTGGTTGGTGGCGCCTGCTGCCCTGGGCGGTGCTAGGCCGGGCTTCTTTGCGGGCGGAGGGGGAGGGGGCTTCTTCTTGCCGACTAGAGATCCGACGCCTGTGCCTGGTGTGGTGGTTGGTGTGGGGTGGGGAGGTGTGGCTGCCCTGTCACTGCTTGCGAATGCGTTCGCTCGGCTGGTGGCAGAAGCGACCTGGTCGCCGTGTCGCTGGCGGAAGTTGTTGAAGGTCGACGCTACTGATGAGGCATCCGAGGCTGATATGGAAGTCGGGTCTTTGTGTATGGAGGACGCGGTCTGGAGGGCTGCTCGTTTCTGGGCCCAGGTCGTGCCAGATGCTCCTGTGCCTTGCCCGGGTGCTTGGGAGGGTTGAGGAGAGGTGGAGGTTGGGGGAGTGGAGCCGATATTGAAGCCTGGTACGGATATCCCTTTCGATGAGAGACTGTTTATGGCGGATTGGTTGAGGTAGCCTTGTGGTTGGGTTGCTGGTTGCGAAGTCCGGACTGGCGGTGGTGGTGGCTGGGTGGGAGAGGATGGTGTGCTTGTACGGGGCGGTAGTCGGGGAGGAAGAGAGGGCGGCGGAGGTTTTGCGTGAGCGTGTGCTGGTGGGGGAGAAGGCGTTGACGTGGTGCCGCCTGGTCTGCGAACTGGTGGTGGTGGGAGATGAGAGGTTGAAAGACCGGTTGTGTCGATGCGGAATGGCTTTGGGGCTGGTGGCTCTTCCTGGGGCGGCTGGGGTGTATGCGTGCTGGTATAGCTCTGATGTGAGGCTCCGGCGGCTGGAGGGCGGTATGGCTGTCCTGGAGGTGGAGAAGGAGTCGCACCTGTCGCGACGTGTTTTGGTGGTGGAGGGAAGGATGCTGGGTCGCGGAGAGATGTTATCGGTATTGGTTCGCGGTACGTCTTCTCCTCCTGGGCCGGGCCGTTAGCGAGTCTCGCCTTGATGTTGACGGGGATATGGACTCACCTTGTCGCCTTTGCCTATGAGACCTTTCTGCGTCCACGAGTTAGCGCAGCGAAGCCAAGGGGAGTGAAGGCGGAGGAACACACCAGTGATTTTGTGATGGGGACATCCTTCTCGGGATGCCATCCATTCTTGACAATGTCCTTCAAACCCGACATCTCGTACGGTTCTCAGGTGTAGGGGAGCAGTGCTTAACCCAGAAAAACAGACCCAATGCTCGTGATAACGAAGCTGTAGAGTCGGATGATCGGTACGGAAGGAGGAGTCTCGGCCAGAGACGGGATGACGTATAGCGCAACCCAACCAATTGGCGCCTAGCGATTTGCACTGCCAGATGAACCCCACCAATGCGATAAACTCCGGCGCAACGCGACTTTAGACGCGTCTCTTTACATTAAACAAAGTTCAGTTCAGTCAACAACGTCAGTCTCAATCGTGGCCCAACCATGGCAGCAACCAATTCCGACATCCTTCTCCTGACAGAACACTTCGGCTACCCGCCAGTGGTTAGTACTCTGCCAATCCCCCAACTCAAGACCCGCATCTAACATAACATCACGGACAGAGCCTGATAGACGACATAATCAACAGCATCAACATCCTCGCCGACCGCGCTCTCAAGAACATAGAGCAAAAGCTCCTCGAGCTGCCGCCCCATACCATAGGCTTCAAGCCAGCGCCCCAACCCCCCTCCAAACCATCCCGCTCATCCCGCAACAATGCCAACGACAACGATGCCCCGGAGACTGCACTATCCCCAGAAGCCGCCGCCCGCCACGAGATCGAGAACGGCACGCACCAGCTCGAGACCCTGCTCTGCTCGAGCATAGACCGCAACTTCGACAAGTTCGAGCTGTACGTCATGCAGAACATCCTGTGCATCCGGCCCGCCGAGCCGAGGGAGTGGATACGCCTCGGCCACTACGAGGGGCTGGACCTGGACGCCGCCGTCAGCAGCCCTAGTCCCGGGGAGGGAGACGAAAACGACGGACGGCCGAGCCTGGAAGGCGTAAGGAGGCTACGGAGGCGGCTGCAGGCTAGTCAGCAGCTGAACGCGATGCTACATGCCGAGCGGGCGCGGAACGAGGCGCTGCTGGAGGCGCTGAGGGGCGTGGTTGGTAAGTCCGGGATGGAAAAACCAGAGGAGGGGAGTAAAGCTACGGCAGAGCACAAGACGGAGGTCGACAGCGACAACGTCGATCTGAGCGCGGCTACCAAGCCTCCCTTTGGCTTCCTGCATGATGCCGGTGGGCTGGCTGCCGGGGCGTCGGACAAGCCGCTCGAGACGACGACGGCGTTTACGCTTAGTCAGCTGCAGGCGTTGAGGGCGCTGTCGACGAGTTTGAGGAATATCATGCCTGATTTGGAGGGTGGAGGGGACGAGGACGAAGACGATGGGGGGAGGAAGAGTTGGAGGCGGGAGAGGCTTGAGTACGTCGAGACGGCGACTAGGAAGCACCTTGAGCACGCGAGGGGCCTGGAGTTGGGCAAGGACGGGGAGGTGAGGGATGGGGAGTGGCAGGGTGAGGGGAGGAAACTGGCCAAGGACGAGGTTGAGGGGTTGGAGAAGGTTGTTGCTATTCTCGGTGGTGCTGGGCCTGCGGGAGGGTCGAATGCGGATGAGATGGACGAGTCGTGAACTCGGTGTATAACGTGGCTTGGCTTTCATGGGGAGTTTTTACGGCAAGGGTACGGTGTTGGAGTCTGGTGGAGGGGCTTGCTGTTTTGTTCGTTGTATTATGACGTTTGCATGATGATGATTATTATGCACAGTCTTGAATTGGTACTGAAACGTAATCTACATATGGACAGCGATCCGGCAGGATAGTGATGCTCCGTATGGCCCGTTGTCTCGTCGTCGAGCTCGCTCATCAGCGACGCGATCCTCTCCCACACACCACTCGCTTCTTCATGCCTCCCTAAGCACTTAGACCCGCGAAGCTATCTCTCCTCCCGGGAAGCCATACTCCTCGGCCAGGTGCCAGAACCTGTGCTGCCAGAATCTCGGATTCTTACCGGACCTCTCCTCGTCCGGCTGGTCCTGGCCCTTCCTCGCAAAGTCAATCACCCTAACAACGGAACTCGTCTGCCCGCTGCGCCCGAGCACGAGCAGCAGCTCGTACAGCGTGGCGTGGGAGATCTTGGACCCGGACTTCTCCATCTTGTCGAAGATCTGCAGCGCCCGCGCCATGTCGCCGACCTGGCAATACCCGAAAATGACCCTCTCCCAGAACACGCGGTCGATGTCCTTGTTGTCGTACAGACGCCGGTTCTCGATGAGCGCCGTCACGGCGTCGCTGTCGGGCGGACTGCGGGTGAAGTAGTGGTCCGCCAGCATCGTGTAGATGTGCGACGTCAGATCCAACCCCTGGCCCCAGATGTGAGCTAGTACTGCCTTGACGGGTTCCTCAGCCCGGTCGCCCTGCTGCAGGAGCAGGTGGATCATTTTCGCGTACAGCTGCATGTTGGCCGTGACGCCGGCCTCGCGCATGTTGCGCAGGAAGGTGTTGACCGTCTGTATCTGCTCCTGCGGCGTCTGGCCGCCAATGTCCTCCAGGGCTCCCTCGAGGAGAATGGCAAAGGTGGCCACGTCCGCTTCGAGGTTTTGCCTCTTCATCGTCTTCAGAAGTGCCTGCACCTCCCCGTCGAGGCCTTGCTTGAGGAGCGGTCGCAGCAGGGTGTTGAAGGTGTAGATGTCCGGCTCGATGCCCTGCTTAGCTGCCCATGCAAGCAAGCCGCTGGCCGCTCCCGACGAGAGTCTTTGGAGTCGCAGCAGTCCCGCAAGCGCAGCATTGACAGGCTCGATACTGGGCTTGACAGCGGCGGGGCTCCTCTTGGCGAGAGGTAGCTTTTCATTCTCTTTCCATAATCGAGCCATCTCCTCCAGCGCGGCTAGACCCTCCTCCGGGCTGCCCAGCTCGATCAGTCCCGAGACTCTGGCCGTCCAAATGGCCGGATCCAGCTTCATATTGGACGCCATCAACTTGGTCCACACGTTCTTCAGCCCGGATATATTATTAGCCCGCTTGCAGCCGTCGATCATGGAGTTCCACGTCTTGACCGTCGGTTCGATTCCGATGCTGACCATGCAGTTCCACACCTCGATAGCTCGGCTCGGCTGCCGCATGGCCATGTAAGCCATGATGAAATAGTTGAACAGCTCGGGGTTCTCCCGACATTGCTTGAGCTTTGCATCGGAAGGCGTCGCATAGGTGCCCCAGAACTCTTCCCAGGCACGGTTGAGCACCTTCGGGTTCCAAGTGTTCCAAGCTTGACCAAGCTGGCGGTGGAGCTTCTTCGTGAGCTGGCTCCCTTGGCCATCCTCAGCTCCGTCGGGGGTATCATTATACTTTGAATGCTCATCGAGCTGCGTCTCTACCGCGGACCAGCGTTCCGTAATGTATTTCAGCAAAGCTGGATACTGTCCGTAAAGAGCGCCGAGATCCTCTCTTTTGGGCCGATTTTGAACTAGGGCAGCAGCCATGGCATCCACGAAGGGCGCAATCTCGTGCCTAAATACCCGGTTCGTCCTGTTGATGGGATCTACGAGGAGTACGTACGTTCCAATGGCCGCGGGTATGGTCAAGCGGAGTGACCCAGGTTGATAGTGAGGGAAGAGCGACGCGATCGAGAGATGCGGCGTGGCCCGGCGGCTATTCTGAGCTATGTACCGCCGGTCGAGGGACGGTAAGCGGGCCGCGGAGGCTGCCTTGGCGCCGTCCCCAGTCCGAGCTGCCACGAAGGGAGGCACGTTGAACATCTTCCAAGCACCGACCAGATCGTGGAGTAGTGTGTCTCTCCTTGCCATGGCAGTCTCGTAGCTCTCAATCGTGGTGTAATCCTGAGGGGATGCGCTAACAGTGCATATATGTTCGAGCAAGTG